CCCCCCTACCCGTCTGCCGGTTTTAGTACCAACACTAGGTTTGAACAGTATATTAGGGAAGCAAATAAAGTTTCTCATGAAACTTGCTAGATTGACTAGATTTTTTTGACGTTTGATTGTTTGAGGAATCTCTGATTAAAATAGCACATTTCTCATAAATTATCGTAACTGTTATTTCCAATGAATAAAGTTTTGTTTTAAAAAAAAAGACACGGTCGAGTCCTGAGTGGGTCGTGCACTTAAATAAACTGGACCGCCTTGGTCTATATTAACTACTACACAATCCGCTACATCTGAAAAGAAAAACCAACTCATGGTTGAGATGATTAGGTGGATAGTGATATCCCTAGCTCATCAAGGTTCAAGTCCTGCTGCTCGCATTTATTCTAGATTTATTTTATAATTTCCGGTGATACGCTTTTAATGGGAGAAGACATTTCCATTTTATATAAGCACTTGCATATGTACTGTATTTAGAAAAAAGGTAATGGTTCGAGCAGCGGAGGAGAAGCCACGGCCTGGCAAAGCTCCAACATCATGACGCTCCCTCTGTTTGGACCAAGTCCTCGGAATAAGATGCTCGCGGTGACTAAACTAAGATATTTTCGTGCGTATGGGTATATGGCTTTTCCCTGCCCGTTCCTTCACCAACCATTGTAGTACATCCGTGATGCGTACAGTACACCATTGTACAGCCGTGATACGTGCGTACACCACGATGCTGCTCCATGTTTATCAATTCCACCAGACATCGTACACGCGGCGTCCACGCCGTGCCAAACTCTGCTGCTTAACTCGAACGAGAATGGCTTTCAAGGGTGGATATTGTTGAGTATAAAGATTATTAGGAAGTATAGGATAGACTATGATTTGGTCCTACCTTGTCTTGTACTTCAAGTTGGTCTTTGTATTCCTATTTATATGCCCACGAGGCTCAAGCAATACAACAAACTATTCCGTCAAATCCCTCACTTCCTTCTAACATGGTATCAGTTTTCGGGTTCTAACCCTAGCCGTCTGTCGCTTCCGCTCCGCGCGTCACCCCAGGGAGGTCGGCTTCACGACCGCCGCCCATACCTAGGGTTCGTCCGCCGGTCATGTCGACCGGCTGTTTTAGAGAGTCTTTTTCCCGATCCTTTGATCCGGAATTTTCTCTCTCTTGTCGGTCACTTTGATCGGTGTCTCTTTTTTGGTTTTCCGATCTAAGATCGGTTTGCGTCGCTCACCATCGTCCGTCATCTACCTCGACCACTTTGTCTATTGCGACCACCGTTGGTGACATTGGCCCCGCCGATGGACGCTGCAGTCATCGTCGAGTTCCTCTCTGTTGGCCCCTCTGACTTCTCCGATATGGCGAACAACTCGTGCAGGTCCCAGTCTCCGCATGCCCGGTGCTGGCAACACCGTTGCGTGCCGTGTCCCCGGGCCTGGGAAGCCTGGTCGGCGCTTCGTCAACTTCGTCTTCGTCCGTCTATGCATGCCCGGTGCTGGCAACACCGGTGTGTGCCTTCATCCACGATGTGTTCCCGGGCTTGGCAAACCCGCCGCGATGCGTGTCAACAACATCTTCTTCCTAGCACACCACTACTTCGACACCATTGCGCCCATGCTAACTCGGCGCCCCCTTGCGCCCGCGGCTCCACGGCGACTTCCTCGACACCGGCCACCCCGACTCGACATCGACCACGGCATTCTTCGCACGACTACCTCGACCACGGCTACACCACCCACGCTCTCAGCTACATCGACAAACGACACAAAGGGCTATCGCCTGCTTGAGCAACCTCGTCGGTTTCCATTCCAGCCACGACTCTGCGATGCATCGACCGTTACGACTGTGGGGGGTATGTCTGTGGGCTCGCCTTCGGATTCTTCTCCAGTCTTACCGTCTGCGTCGCTACCGTTGTGACTATGGGATGTTGAGTATAAAGATTATTAGGAAGTATAGGATAGACTAGGATTTGATCCTGCCTTATCTTGTACTTTAAATTTGTCTTTGTACTTCTATTTATATTGCTCAAGCAATACAACAAATTATTCCGCAAAAACTCTCTCTCCCTTCTGCTACAGATATTTTCCGTCTCTTCCGTTCCGAGCTACTTCACGTTGCCGTCAACTTCTTCTCCTTTCCTGAAAGGGGACCTTGCCGTGCTTTCTGGTGGGGATAAGTGCCGCGAAGATCTTTCTTTTCCCTGACGTGCATCCGATCATGTCATGCAACTTTTCGATTTATCAGATAGGAATCCGACATGTGTATGTAATGTATTTTGTACCGAGATGCTCACGTCTCTACCCGGCGGTTGACTGGTTGTCCTGACCACCGGTGCGGAATCTATTCCAAGACTCGAAGTCTGCTGAACGGCACATATTGACAAATTAGGAATCTAACATCTGTCGTCAGGATATTATTGGGCAATTCGCGTGGTCATAGGTCCATGATGTATACCGTATTATCCAAGAAAAAGGTTCTTGACTTACAAATGTAGACACCCTGCGAAAGATTAGCACACGCTAGGCTCAACATAATTCCTTAAGATCTTATACGCTGATGAGGGTAAGAAACTAAGAATCATGGCATCAAGTCTTATGGCGATGTTCGTTCAATGGAATGGGATGTTTCGGTTGACTACGAGGTGCATGTGGTGACTTCGTCAATCTTAAGATTTTGTCCCGGCTCAGTATCTCGAAATAGCTCATAAGGATGTGTGTGCGCTTTTTATAGGGGTGATTTTATGTATGTCTATGTGAGCATTTTTAATTGCACCATGTTCAATTTTTTGTTATCATTTTTTCTTTGAAACGAGGCAAAAGACTTGCCATTTTCATTGATTAAGAAGAAGGAGAATTGCCCGACTAATTGACGATAGTGCAAAAAATTATGTTTTTTTTACCATATTCATCATAGTGCAAAAAATTATTCATGTGAACATGAGGAAATGCAAATATGAAGTCGGTCCAAATTATGCATGCTACATCGAGATTTTGTGTGGGTTGTCCTATTTTAACCCATAGTCTTATAGGATATGTTATATTGATGAAATTTATATATATGTTTGATTGCAAGTTGAGTTTGATAAAAAACGAGGTTTCAATTGAAAAATTGACGATAGCAATGCACAAATTAAACCATGAGGCTATTTTTTAAAATGACAACATCCAACGAATCGAATCTCACTAGTCTAGATTTTTGGGATGAGCAGGGTTTTAAAATTCTCCTCCCCAAAATGTGATCCCATTTGCCACACGGCATGCCACATGCAAATCTATCCGGAAAGACATCATGATGAGCTTATCGCTTCACCTGACATTTGTCGTTTCCGTCACCTTTTTAACCGAAGATTGTGCACATACGCTTGCAGCAACACGTGCCGAAGATTTGCACGCATACACCTATAGCAACACGTGTCGTCATGAGCATATATGCTTCAAGGTACATGGATTTCATCAAATTGTGCAAGGGCGATAGTCTTATGTCAATGTCTTTTAGCTTAA